AACTTTTTATCCACCCAGAATTCACTGGGTACCCTGCCCTGCTGGTAGAGGAATGCTGGTTTCCAGTCTTGCTTATATTGAAAATCTATAACAGTAAATAAAGTTTATCAGTGTTAAAGGGAGGCAGTCGTCGCGCTGCACATGTGCGACATTTATGTTGAGAAACATTTTTTTTCCCACAATCCAATGCGCCCTTCTTATGGAAATCACAAATATGGAGTTTGACCTGCACTAATTACCGCTGGTGACTCATTTGATAACTTCCAAACACGTCTCAGTCTGTACTTGTTGATCTGTGCAACAAAGTCACCATCTTTGTTTATACGAGACCAATACGTCTTGCGCATGCGTGGCACGACGACTATCGCCCTTTAAAGTGCAACAATCAAGTGTATTTTCAAATTTAAAGCAGGAGGGTCATCACCTGCGCACACGATGCAGAAATCAATTCCCAAGCGATGATAACACACGCTAATAACACAAAGGCTCATGGGTATACACTTGTTTGTAAACAATGACATGCCATCTGACGCATGAGATGACCCTCCCACTTTAATGTATACAAGTTGGATTGGAATCATATCAAACATACCCGACATGGTACGACTACAGTTCTAGCATGTGATCAATCAATTATAAATAAAAAAAAAAAACACAGACCACTCATATTTTTGGTGTAGATTTTCATAAATGAATTCTAAAATATACATCTCAGAGGCACTATCCGATTATTCTGCATTTATTCGACAGAGATAGAAAGACAAACAAAATTCAAATGGGGTTGCACTGTTCTTCATAAATGGCGGTCTCGTTTGAGCCCCAGTAGAGCACAGGGAGGAGTGTAAAGTGTATATAAAATGATTGAAATGGAAATATGACACATGTGGTGGGACTGCAAAACCACTTCGTTGATACTGTAAAACCATTTATTTTCACTGACATTTAATTTCAATATTTTGATCATATTTATTGGGTTTCAAGTTTATAAACTTAGCAGGGAATTAAACATTGAGTTCCATTCTTATTTTACACAGTTAAAGGATTTAATTTAGCAGATTTTACTTATCTGCAAAAATATCGAAATTAAAACAGTAAATAAATAATGCCTTTACAGTACAGTACAGGACAATGTTTTTTGACACACAGCTGTCTGTATTGTATCGGGAATATGATAAGGAGTACTATGGAACAACACTGCATGCATGCATGGAGAGCAGGTCCCAGCACATTCCAAACACTGAAGGCTTTTGAAATGTCTTATTATTGGTCACATTTTTCATTCATTTGTGATTTCCCATGTGTTTTCATCCAGTTATAAAAACATTTGTAACAATGTAATAATGTATTGTGACATATGTAGCCCACACATTGAAAAGATCTTAATCTCCCCAGACTAATATAATACCATATTTCATCAACAATTTTAATGACAGATTAAAATAAAATTAATGTGTCATGCATGAAAAAAAAGATATAAATACAAGAGCACAAAATATTTTATTACCATGGTTACAGTAAAATATTGGAAATACAGATGGACTGTCAGTCATGCCTATTGAATACTCAAACACATGCAATATTGCACTGTACCACCCTGACACCGTCACAAAAACTCCCTTCAAAAAAAAGGCAATACCCAGTACAACATGTGTAATATACAACTTGTGTTGCTATGGAAACTGATGACTGATACTAATCATTTGTGAGCATTCATTGTGACTGAAATGAAAGCCATATTTTATTTAAAAGAATGAAGGATTGACTACGGTGAACCAAATTGAAGATACACAATCTTGAACAGAGTTCTTGTGAACGAAGTAGTCTAATGTCTGTATGAAATGTTCAGTTTTATGGAAAATTCACAGATTTAATTTGAATTCAATGAGAAATCCGATGAGATTGCGAACTACACGGACGTTTATGTAACCTTAGCAAAATGACAGTAGTTAATTTTGTCTTGATCTCATTAAACATTGACAATATGGACAAATTCAAATTATATGATAAATAAAATATATTTAAAAAAGTACAAAAATACATTAAAAATCATAAAATACCTCACCAACAATATTCATAAATATGGTAACAGTCAAGATATATATAAATACTAAAATCAGAATCGAAACAGGAGATAGAATTACAGTTGATATATACATCATGCAAATGATAGAAAATTGTATATACATTTCAAGTACAAAAATACCATATACATTCTCAGAAAAGCTAAAATTGATCAAAATGTTTAATTTTTGAAATTGAACAAGGACTGTGTCTGTGGATGGTATCTTTATTTTTTTTATAAATCTCATCACACAATTATTTAATAATATAAAATTGTAATATTTTCTTTCTTTCTTCATATTTATAATTTTTCTGATTACTTTTAAAAAATACTTAGATACAAACCTTTAGTACTTTTTTAAATTTTAGGATTATTGGGAATTCAGCAGTTTAATTTCAAAGATAATATTCCAAAAAAGGATATTTAATAGAGAATGTGAATTGCTCAATGTTATTCATTAGTTTCTGAATTTCTTTTTATACACAATTTTATATCAGTGAAATATATTCGGAATGTATTTGCAAACAGACTGGTAAACTAATTCAAACAAGATAGCATTTAATTTAATTTAATTTTGCAAAGACACTATTTGGCAGTTCTTTACAGTTCACTTTTTCAAGGCCAGATTTATTTTTCCCTACATGTATGTTGGTGAAATAGGTACACATCTCTTGTGGAATTACTTTTTTTTTTTTTTTTCCATGACTGTTGTTCTAACAGTTCACTGACCTTTCTAAACAATAATTATTTACTCGGAAAAGATCTTGTTAACACATGATCCAAGTGGGGAGTACACATTTTCGCTCACTGTTTTAAAAAGGCGCAGATGTACCCTGGATTCGAACCAACTATCTCCAGATAATTAGCTGTGTAGATGTAGTGTAACTTGAATGCGCCGTGTAGTTCACTATGATACGGAAATGAATCAGGTGCAATTTCTATGAGTTATTGGCCCATTGTCCTTTTACACAATGTGATAACATACGGTACAACTTGTGATGTGGTTACAAAAAACAAACACCTAAGACTCGCAAAATTTGCAGTATTAGTTCTTTAACGGTAACTCTGACACTAACGATAGTTAATGACCTGTTTGGGGTTAAGGTTTTTAATAGTGAATGTTTACTAGAACCTCAACCAAATTGTGGTTTACCATAGTGAGTGTCTTCATATCACTAACTCATCAGTAATAATGTCAGTTTCAAAAGTATTCATCATTTCATTTATGTTAGATTAAAGATTTACAGATTAGGATCAATGGATTACTTAAAGACAGAAGACATATCCATGGTGGAAGAAGAGTTGAACAATTCTTACATTAAATACATATATAAAGAGAATTATAATTTACGTTTTGTGAAAAAAAAAATGGAAAATGTTATTGCTAACAATACAGACATACCAGCCAGAGGCTGATTGTCATTGTTATGTTGGGAGAATATTTTAAATCAACTCAAAGTGACCCAAATTCGATCTCTTTTTAAAAAACACACACATGTTGACAACCTAATTCAGACAGGGATGAAGTTTTAAATTCCCTTTGACTGCAAATGTGTTGTTGTTGCCATTTTATGTGTATTTCTATAATTTCTTTATCGTAATTTTTGACCTGACAGACGTAATTTTGGTAACAGATCTTGATCAAAACATATGAAAAGGTTTATGTTGTTAAAGGAGACAAAATTTCTCAAAGGGTTACCACATTGCCTGTTGTTGAAGCATCAACGGATATCCAAAATGAATGGAGGAAAAAACAGCACCAGCAGGCATCGTGCTAAAGGCTCTTATTCCGCCGTTCCTACATGTGTGATGATGTTTCTAAACCCCAATGTTTACATTTATGTACATACTGAATCTCTTATTATTTTTTCCATTGTTGTTGTGTGTGCATAACTCGTGCTTCACACAATGTGAGTAACATGAGCATCTGTTCATATCATATCAGTCTACATTATAGCCATATTGATTTTACATCAGATTTGCATTGCTTACACAGTCCTACATCCAAACATTGTAGTGGAAAGTGGAAAAACATTTACTGTCATCACCATATTGTTCTGAATTCTGAAATTTCACAATGCCGGAAATGAAAATACTTTATCTTAGTGTTTGTAGTAATGTAATCGTCAAAAGTAAATGCAAGAATATTACTTCTGGCGAGGACACAGAAATAGATTAAATTAGTCTAGTTTCTGATCCACTCGTTCCCCGTGAATAACTGAGTTCTGTTACAGTAATCATAGTCGTCATTTTGCTACGGCCACCAGAACAGCAACATTGCCAGCTAAGATGCTGACTAGTTTGCGAAGCATTCTTGGAGATCGTTACATGATTAGAACTGGTTATCAGTATTTCAAACTAATTTTAAGAGGGTGCACTACTTTACAAGCATTATGACACATAAGAAACACACCATCGACCGTGTCAGTACATATATTTTGTTTGGATAACTTTCCCATTTATTATATAGAAATTTATACGATTGAATGAAATAAATTGAAAGGCAATTGTGTCATGATATTCTATTTATATTCAACGTGTTCGAGTCCCCCAATATTAGTTTGACGACTCCTGCTAAGGTTGCTTTGAACCTACTTGTTTTAATCGCGTAACGATCTCCAGGCAGGCATAGCAAACCAGTCAGCAACTTAGCTGGCAATGTTGCTGTTTTGTTGTTAGGAACACTATGGCGGTGTCAGTAAATGTTTGTAGCATTACTACATACATACTCATTGTCGTATAACGAGGCATGGCTGTGATGCATATGTAAATGAAGTGTATGCATATGTAAATGAGGTGTATCGAACATATTTATACATAGTAGCAAAACTGGTTACCAAGTATAGACTTCAGAATGGTACTTATACATGTATGTTGTCAATATCACTGAAAAACACATTATTCTCATCAAAGCTTTCATTTTTATGATACATCTTCATCAACTGGTTGGCATGACGACCATCTCCATGACACTCTTTGTTTTATTGTTATATGCTCGTCTGATGATATCAACCGCCTGAGGATGGGTTTTTTCTCGTAAGGATATACCATCTACTGACACTACCTCATAACCAGCCTACAATAAAAAAATATAAATCACACAGAGATAACACGAGTTTAAGTGAAAACTGTGTTTTAACTGTTAACACTTCATAAAATTTTTCATGTGTGACCCCATGAAAAAAACACATTATGGAGGTGTACCATAGATAGTGCCCTCTTGTGGCAGAGTACTATTCATTATAATAACATCATTATAATATCATTTCTGTGACAAAATGTTTATAAATTTTTGCATATAAAAATGGGCAGGTCACGAGAGACAACATGGAAAGGGCAAGAGCTCCTTTTGTACTCCCCACCTCCAACCCAAATTCTAACCCTCACCCAGCCCCAATTCAATTGTTGATGCTGTAGATAAATATAGGTGTCCTTAGGAGAGACATTTACTATTTAATTGGAAAGCACTGGAGGATCAGGTTAGAGTTAGGATACAGAAGGAACTCTTTCCAAAAAAGAAAGTATCCTACTTGAAGAAAGCCATCATCAGCAGCAGCTCCTCCTGCAAATACCCTTTCAATTTTTACAACAGGTTGGTCTCTGGAATCTTTCCCACCAGATATACTTATACCTACAAAGAAGCGAAATAAAAGTATGACTTCTTTTTTTACAGTTCAACCAAAAGAACCAAGACAATTGCTTACAAAGACATTCAACAGGGGGTTGTTCATGAAGTTTTAGTTTAACTGTACATCAAATGGCACCAGATGACTATGATTTGTATTGATTCACTAGGTGAACATACATGTACTCTATCTTATTAGGATGTAGCAATTCTATTAAAACAAAGTAACATTATTTAAATTTTTAATATATCTTAAAATTTGTCAATTCAATTCATTAATGATCAACTATTATATTGTTTACCCAGTTCATAATAATATATATATATTGAGAACCAATGATATCATACTCATCATCTGACTGATAATCATTCTCTAAATAATATCATATTCATACTATTTTTACTAAATATGACTTTTCCAAAAAAAAGACATTCAAATATTTTGTATAATGATATTCAGTGGATCATAATTAATCAAAACAATTTCTTCAAAAGTCCAGACAGAACATCGCTGGACAACAAAATATGGCCTACAATTTTTTGTAATCAGTACTTGATTGTCATGGTTACCTACCTAATGATGATTTATTTTTCTTCAATTCTACTGTGACTTCTATCTGAGGTGTAGAGTTTTGTAGTGAATTATTGGCAGATGTGGCTTCCATGATTTCAAGCAATGGACTTGGCTCATCATAATTTAAAATTACTTCATTTTTATTTTTCCTGTAAAAGTAAGATGACAATACTGATTAGAGTTAACAAATTCTATCCATACCAAAATGTACAGGCTAAAATTTAAAAACTGAGTAAATTCCGCCCCAAGCTTGAAAATCCCATCCCGAACTTGAAAATCCCATCCTGAACTTGAAAATCCCATCCTGAACTTGAAAATCCCATCCCGAACTTGAAAATCCCATCCTGAACTTGAAAATTCCATCCCGAACTTGAAAATCCCATCCCGAACTTGAAAATCCTAACCTGAACTTGAAAATCCCATCCTGAACTTGAAAATCCCATCCTGAACTTGAAAATCCCATCCCGAACTTGAAAATCCCATCCTGAACTTGAAAATTCCATCCCGAACTTGAAAATCCCATCCCGAACTTGAAAATCCCATCCCGAACTTGAAAATTCCATCCTGAACTTGAAAATCCCATCCTGAACTTGATAATACCATCTCAAGCTAGAAAACCCTTTGAATTTTGGATGCAACATTTTTATGCAGTTTTCTATACTTTTTTTGTTAATTTTATTGCAAACAAACATAATTTCCAATTAGATAACATTATATTTCAGTGTCAAGTTATCTTGGTCATTTTGTGACAATAATGATGGTCATAGAGTATATTTGTGTGGTCTCCAATAATGCCAATTAAGTATCGGTGGTTAAATAGCAGTTCAGATGCCTAGATGATCCCTAGATGGTGCAATATATGTAAGCATAGCAAAGAAGGAGATGAATGACATGTGATGAGATGAATCAGTTGATACTCACAGTATGCCTTTAACATTTCTGGGTGGCGTCGGTGGTGGTGTACTTTCATCAAACTCAACAGATGAGATATGAACCCGGGGAGATGATAATTTTGGTTTCTTTTTCCTGCTCTTGTCTACAGTGGCATAGAGCGCTGCAATGTCCTCCTCAGTTGGCATGCTCTCATTGGCTGGCGTAAAGAAATCTGGGCTCTTATTGGCTGATGATTCTAATGAACTTGGCAGATGAATGGACATTGAGCTTTCATTGGCTAATGAACCAGATGAGAAATCTATTTGTGAATATTCATTATATGATATGGGAGACTCAAGCTGTCCATTAGTTGTGAGCGCAACTTCCCCTTGCAAATTCTCACTGGTGGTGTTGCCATCATCATTGTCGCTTTCCATATCATCATTAATCCGATAAATACCTTTGCGTGTGCCGCTATCGCTGTCACTAGAATCCGATTCAGAATCACTATCATCATCGCTCTCCAAATCCAACGCTTTAATCATATCAGCAGCAGCATCCACATCCTCACTGTGATTGGCTGCCACATCTAATTCTCTAATTGGTGTAACCGTAACTTCTGTTATATGACTGCCTGTATCAGTCTGTTCCTCTTTGATAAATGGCACGACACCGTCGTATTCAGAATTATTAACTTTTTTTATTAACACAATTCCTGTTGAATCGTCTGTTTCCTGGTCGCTACTCGTGCATTGCACAGACGTTTTTTCATGTCCTGTCTTTGGACTTGATTCCGGTGTACTTGTAACTGGACTCCTGGTCTGTGGCCGACCAATAATAGGAATGTGGCTATATGCCAGACCTTTCACTGGTTCTTGATCCATCATTGCTTTCTTTCTCCTCACCTCAGCTTGCCTTTCTCTCCTCAAACGTTCAAGTTCCTCTCTGCGCTTTTGATCTTTATCCAACTTATCGTCAGATCTCACCATGGCAACCTCCTGCAATTGTTCTGTATTCAAAAAAAATTTAGTTACCAAGTGCATTAACTCCATATAACAAATTAATTTGCATAAATTTCCCATGATGCATCATGACATTCTGAGTTTCTTATAACTAAAGAGAAGTAGAAATTACTGATGAAATATAATTTTACACCATAGAAATCAGATAATTTGATTTAGTAATGTATGTTGCAATATAAATGCCACAAGCAGTATGCGTAGCTGATAAAGCTGTGCTGTTTGAGATGCATAATTAGAGAGGAATATCACAATAAATCTAGTCATTTTCAAGATAAAATGAGAAAATTGAAGGTATCAAAACTAAATGAATTAATCCAATAGAAGAATGAATCAAATCAATCTGACTAAGGTCTATCCAAAGCACTTGTGCTAACTGTTTTTCAAAAACAAGTTGAATGTAAATTTTTTTTTACCAAAAATGACAAAAACATTCACTTAAATTAGAGAATTGAAGGTATAAACAAATGTCACGGAGGTCCAACAAAGGTGTCTACATATAAAAAGTCGAAAATAACAATTTTTCACCAGAAGGAATTGAAGATATCTTCAGAAATCTGAGTGAGAACCATCCAAGGTACATTTGTAGTGAGTATGGTACCCATACAGTTGATATTTTTAAGAAGAAGTTGAAAATTTAATGTTGACACTGACAAACAATCTGTAATATGAACAGTTCTGCAATGTTAACTTTGTCAACAGTGGGGCTAATAAAAGTGGTAAATAAAAGTTGAATCTTACTAGGTTGTGTGTTTAATCTCTCAGCGCTATTCTGTAAAGTATGCTCATTTGAACTAATTTGTTCATAGACTGTAAAATTAGAAAGAAAAATGATATTAATATTAAGTAATGAATGCAGGAAAAGATATTAATTGAATTCTACTACTTCTTTTATACTACAATTTTTGAGAATATTAAGTCTATACACCATAGACCATAGGAATGTAGCTGGAATATAACCATGTCAGGAATATGATTATGATGTTTGTTTAATATTAAAATAATTGAAATTTGTATCTGATCGTCAAACGAGTACATGTGTACATTGAGAGATATTGCTCTGGAACAGCGTCAATTAAAACAAAATCAGCCATTTTGAATACATATACATATCTATAACATGATGTATATAATGAATATATAAAATTTGAACATAATCAGTGAAAGCATGTCAGAGGTATGGCTCTAGAAGCCCAATCATTAAAACAAAGTCAGCCATTTTGAATCTAATCTGAAAAATAAAATGACGTGCATCATTAAAACAAAATTCATTCATAAATGCCAGAAATGCTTGATATTTGATGATTTTTTTAGCACAAAAATGGCCACCATTCGGCCACTTTGAATAGGATCATCAAACCAATACATCAATATATCTATGACATGATGCATAATGAGTATTAAAAATTTGAACATAATCTGTCAAAGCAAGTCAGAGATATGGCACGAGAACCACATTCATTAAAACAAAATTGCCACCAGTCAGTCATTTTGAATGGTATCTGAAAAACAAAATGACGTGCATCAAGGTCCTATAATGTCCAATATATATACCAAGTTTGAACAAAATCCATCTGTAAAATGCTCCGAGAAATGCTTAACTTTGATAATTTTTCAGTACAAGAATTGCTGCCATTCGACCATCTTGAATCAGATCGTGAAACAAATTGATGTGCATATGTATAAAATGTAATGTATGATGTATGTGTGAAGTTTGATTGTGATTGGTCCTGGCATTCCTAAGATACGGAAGCACAGACGCACGGACACACAGACGCACAGAGGTCGAAAAATAAGTCCCCGTTTTCAGACTGCTTTATTTCAACAGTTTAGAAAATTTATATTTATAATTTGGTTACATTCGAAATGAAGTTAAGGAAAATACACTAAAAGTTTCAAAAATAATAAAACATGATATAAAATGAGGTATTAAACTGATAAGTAATAATTGATTTGTTTCAATCCTGTTACAAGTTTTGTTGTTAGAACTAGGATATACTATTATAGTATTTTTATGTTTTGATTTGAGTATAAATTGAAATTGTTCTTTGTTATCAAATTTTGCAAATTTACTGTTTATTGAGTTAATTGTGTTGAATAACATGTTTCATGAATGTTTGGCTTTGATGTCAGATTTGACTTACCTGCACTGTTTTCATGTAGCTCTTCATATGCTTCAATTTCCCATCTTGACACCAAGGAATCAAACTGACCAATATCGGTTGGTAAAATAACACTCCTGTAAAAATGGATAAGAAGTGGCTTATACATGTACTAACATCAACCGGCAACTTGGTAATCAGCCAACAGACACAATCAATGTATTGTTGCATAGTGGTTAATTGGTGCATCGACTAGGTGTCAGAGTTAAAATCCTACTTTGGAGGAATCAAGGCCACTGACTGAAATTCATTGACCAGCTTTGGGGGGGGGGGGGGGGGAGTTGTGGCTAAGACATAATGGGACACCCATTTCAGGCATATATATTAAACAAAGTAAGAACAGATTCTAATGCACCAAGTTTTTTTAAAAGTCATCTCTGAAAATAAAACAACATTTTATAGCAAAGTTTTATTAATTACAGTTGGGGATCGTTATACTTACCGAATATCTTTGAGCAGTACGACTTTCTCTGGTCTATCTAATATTGCTAACAGCGGTTGCACTAACATTGATATGTCCCCTTCCACCATGTACTGTCAAATATAATACGTATAATTATACAATTTACATTTGTTTTCACAAAGCTGTAAGTATTCAACTGTAATTTGTGCACTTTATGGTACATACATGCATCTCTTACTGCATTCAAGGTGAGGTGAGGTTGGAGTGAGAAAAAAGTTCGTTAGGAATTTTTTGAATTTGTTGGCGTGTGAAATCTTGGTATCAATCAATTCCGATAATATAGGAAGCCTAGTTGATGAGCCAGAGCTTCATTAAAAAAGACCATGGTTTCACAAAAAATCAACAGTTCAGTTTTTATTCCTAAAAGAAAGAAAACCTAAAATCTGGTTCCCCTTGTTATTCCTACTAGAATTTAAAACCATTAAATAATCATCTAAAGCTAGGTCTAGGAAACTTTTCCCATAAGTTACTAAACAGGTTAATATCTCATTTATTGGTATTAATTGATTGGGACATCCAACAAACTGTCCAGTGATAAATCTACCAATACAAACAACTAATAATCATTAAACACCATAGGCACTCGTGCAATAAAGTGTTTTTGATGAGTAAATCGATAGCTACAACTTTACTAGGAGAAGGCACTCTTACCCTTCTAACATGTCTAATAATCGCAGCGACTTCATCATCATTCTTTAATATTCGTCTAGCTCTATCTTCTATCGCAGGTATTGCGTGCTGCCTAGATGCTTGCTGTAACATTATCTGTGTGCCAGCACCGTGTACAAACACACCCTTCTTTTTACCAATACTACCATATGAATCTTTTGACGCTGCACAGAAAAATTGTACAAAAATGATACAAGATATATAACAATGACATGCATCAGAATTATGTATTATTTATGTGCCCAGCATAGCTCCTATATTACAATACATAGGTGAGAAACGGCTGAGTATACTGTACATAACTTTATAGTGAATGCTTTATAAACTTTAATTCTGCAACAGAGACATTTTTGAATATTTTGCAGTAAAAAATTGAGATAAAACATAGATTACTAGACTGATTTAGCCTTTTCACCACCAGACTTTAAATACTTGCCCAAATTTTTCTACACTTTCTTTTCATGTTCTTCAATATTTTTGGACATGAACCTCAATTTTGGAGCCAACAAAACAAATACGAGTCAATTTCCAGTTTTTACTCAAAAAATGTGTCTATTTTTGTTCCAATCTTCTGAAGGAAAGTGTAGACTATAAACAGGACTACTCTGTGAATTTGTGATGGAAAAAGGGAACTGGTGTAGAAAAGGTTAAATGAATTCCATAACTTAATTGCAATCTGACCTACCCGTGCTCTCGTGCCTCATAGGTCTCATTCCACCATTACCATTAGACTCTCGCATAGCTCTAGCAGGTCCCAACAATTCTCTACTAACTCCATTACCATTCACAGCAGAAACAGAAACAGTCGTGGTAGTGGTAGTATGGGGTACAGTACTTGTAGGTTGTGATGCCTTCAAACTACCCAGTCCTAGTCTTGTCTTTGATTTAGAATTGCTGGCACCTACACAATGGTTTCAATTATTTATCACATGCACTTTAGATATCCCCACAGTAAGATCAAAATATATATCATGGTATGATGTCACATATACAAGCTAATGTTTTTATTTCATATATGCGCTACCAGAAGATTGTTCAGCTTTCTGGAATGAATGAACTCTACATATGGTTACCTTCAAACATATTCTATTAACAACCTTATAGGTTATTGTTAAATCCGTAAAAAAAAAAATCAGATAAGATTTTTAATTTCCGTGCTAATCGCAGTATAATCATAAATATCACCTAAGTCGCATCAATCCTGAGCTATAAGGTGGTAATTATTCAAATTTTCTGATTTCAAATTCATAGGAAATATTAGGATTATAAACATTACTCAAAATCCATTTACTTTCACTAGATTTTTATTAAATTAATATTTTTATATTTTAAGCATATTCACCTGGTTTTAATAAATTTAATTATCTAATAAATTTGCCAGTAAAACAAAATGTTCTATTGTTATTTTTTGCATTTTCCCATGAATTTTAAGCAAAATAACAAAACGCAAACAGTGAATAATTAATACATGTACAGTACACTTGTAAGTATGCAGAACAGCAGATTCTCTTGAAATAAAATAGTAATGTGTATACTTCAGATGTAAGGTGCATTTACATTGTATATATGCCAAATGTGATATGACATTATTATGAGTGACCGGTATGGTGTAACTATAGTAACTGTCTGTATGTCCCAGCCAGCTGTGTGTATGTAGAGTAACTGATTCCTGTAAACTGCGACTACATGGTCATTTCAAAGAAATACAACATGCAAACCGCTACATGTGTAGGATACCATAAATAACAGAGAATATGGAAGTTTTTTTTTTTGTAAACTGTTAATTTGAATCTAGATGAAGACATATGAATGAGATGTGTTGAAATATAATCACTGGCAGCACATGTAGTATTTGTGATTTTTCAAAATATCCTTATACATGTATAGTGCAGCAAACAATAAACACTATAAAAATCACAATTGAAACAAAACAGCATTATAGAATACACATAAATACACAAAGTAATAATAATTACAATAAACATTACCAAAGAACATAAAATAAACAGACAATTCAAACCTGCAGTTAGTATGTACGTGATGGTATAAGCCGGGTGTCGTTTCAGTGCATGTGAAAGCTATTGTGGAAAAACACCATTTACCAAATACATTATCAATACACCCTTTATCAATATGGTGTACCAGGGTATGCATTATAACTGAAAGTGCCTATACTTGCAATCCAACTAAGCATAGCTATGATACAGCATTCAAATTAAACTACACATCTGTAGTGATTTTTTTTACCTTGCGATCCCACTTTGTGTTTCTCAGTTTTATCTTTGGAGCGGCGGAAGATTATATCCTTGATCGAGCGAGACCGCTTCACTTTGTGTCCCCTCTTCTCCTCATTATAAAATTGTTTGGCTGCTAAATCTATGCATATAATCAGTAAACAGGGCTTTTTTGAAGAGCCACTGATGCGGTTGCTAGGCTACATGATAGCATATATATATACATTCAGGCCATGCATTAACATTCAAAATAACACGCACTATGCAGAGGAATTTATAGAGAATGGTGACAGAGGAGTTAGGATTAGGAATAATTTTAAGGATAAGGAAACATATGGATTGATTTGAGGGCAGTGTTGCAGCCAGCTACCATCCATTGGAACAGGCATTTATTATTGTACATTCTCAAAAAATTCATAATTTTTTTTTTTTTTTTTTCACTGTTTAGCTTATATTTTTTGTTTTGTTTAGAGGTTTTTCCTGACAGTAGAAATGTGGGGACTAATAACAAAATTAAAGTTGTCAGATTACTTGTATCAAATTAATGTTGAAATTAATTGTATTTACAGAGATTTTTTTTGTGTTTGAAGTTTGATCTCTAGGTGTGTGTGTGCATTGATTTCTGTAGTAAAATTACACAAGTACTGGGTACTGTCAGGTAGATTGATACACTATGGAAGGCAGCATAATTAGTGCATATTACGTATATTATTAATTATTTACAGTGGTGTTATTAAAGTGAGTATTGATGAGGCAGTGGGAGGCAACACTGGCATGCACTTATATTCAACCTGGTAAGAAGATCACACTCAAACACTGCAAATGACAGAGTGTACACAAGACGCAATCAAATACATGTCAACAACGATAATACACACCATACAAATGTTTTTAAATGTACATTTCCACAAATGAATGCATTATATAGATCAGTTTATCAGAATTCAAACTTTGGAGCAAACACATGTCACTTTTCTCAAAAATCAACATTGGAATTGGAGGAAATGAATGTTTAACCGCATTTTCGTGGCAAATGGAAGAGGGAAAGTTTACCCCTTCATGCATATTTTCAATACATTTGTTAAAATCAATTAGCTGATTTCCATACATCATGATTTTCTGATTCTTAAAAACAACGAGCTATATCATATTTTCACTTAGAAGTGCACATTTTGACATACAAGACACATGCCTTTGTAACAGAAGAAATAACACTACAAAAATGTTGAAAGTGAACAGGCTAATTATGGTAGAACAACGATTACAGTTATTTAAACAGTGATAAAGCAACAATTATGGTAATACATGGACAGACCGACAAACAGAGAGACACACAGACTCACCGTCAGGGTTGTATTTCATATTCAAACTCTGTGATCTAGACACATTATTAGAAGTCTTGTTTCCTTTGAGTACAGTCAATATGCCGGAACCTTTCTGTTTACTGTGATGGTGATCACTTCGTTGTTCAGCTGTAGTCTGTATAAAGAAAATATATACAAAGAAATCAAGTAAATAAAACTACAAAACAAAATCTAACCATACAACTAGGGGAGCAGGCATACTGAATCTAGCGTGTTCTCCAACATTTCAACTGGAAATGAAAATTTTACTTTGTTTTAACTTAAAGCGGGGGGGAGTCGTCACCTGCACATGCGTAAGATGGCCATTGTTTACAAACAAGCGTCTACCCATGAGCTTTTGCATTTTTAGTGTGTGTTGTTACCGTCGCTTGCGATTCAATTCCCGCGCGTACGCAGGTGACAATCCTCCTGCTTTAAAATATGCATGTATAGGAATTATGATAAAAGATCTGATAAGATGGTTATATTTGTTACCTTTGTTTCTGTTATTTTTCGTGTTGGTGCTGAGTGTACAAGTTTTGTATGATGCTGCCCATGGTCAACAGATTGTGAGAAATGCTGCGCTGTATCTACAGGAACTGCATCCATGGGACCATTTTGGTATTGGTAGACATGGCTGGTATTAGCAGAAGAGGGAGCTGTATGCGGCCCTGTGACAGGATGACAAACATGAAGTGTAATTTTTGTAGTTTCAGATTATTACTAATATTCATGGCTATTTGACTTGTAATAATCAATTTACCACCAGACTCTCTTGCGCAGATGTTTCTGCACTCTTTTCTTATATTTTTCTGGAAATGAAACCTAATTTTGGAGCTGACAGAAAAAATTTGAGTCAATTTTCAGTTTTTACTAAATTTTTTGTCCTAATCTTCTGAAAGAAAGTGCAGACTATGAACAGGACTATATTGTGAATTTGTGATGGTTAACCGTTAACCGTTTCTGTGATCACACCAAAAAAACATTGAATATACTATTCATATATGCGCAAGTATCATACACACATGTACCAGTATGTGAGAAATCAACTATACTCATGAACCTGCTTCTTTGAATGCTATTATTGTTCTCTCCAAAATTAGGAGCTCATTGTAATTTTCTATAATTCCTTTTTGACCAAATAGACGCAATTTTCCTTTGCCAACATGCAATTTTGTGAAAAGTAAAGAAATAATATTCAAGTTTAGTTTGTGAAAAGTGACATTCAAAAGGTTGACAACTTCTGGTTTCCATGACCTTAGTGAGGTATTCAAGGTGGGGTATCAGATCTTACAAAGCTGAACAGCGCCCTCACACATCAATCATGAGAAATTAACTTACTGAAGATTCTTGTCAGTTTTTTGGATTCACCATCCATCCAGCTATACTCTGCAACCATTTCTTTGTAAGCAGGATATTTGTTTACATCCTTTATTGTCAAAATCAGCTGTTTCTGACTTTTAAGATAATTCACAGCTTCAGAATGAGTGATGTTTTCAAATAAAAGGCCATTGACGTCCAGGATGAGGTCACCGACTCTTATACCACTCGCCTCCGCTGGGCCACCAGGGTCAACTCTGAAAATCAATCCATACAAAAACTTTTATAATAACTTGATCTAGCATTCAAAGAATATGTATTATTTAGCAACGGGGGATGTGTCTCTGTGATTGTTCAAGTTGCTTCTAGCGCATTATACACACAAATACAACATCTAGACTCTGTAATTGATCTATGGCCTCAGGGTGTAACCCACACCCATTTCTTGGGTGACTCGCGTGCAACTTGGGGAAACAGACATAGGATGTTGATAGGTAAGTTGATACAGAGACAACATCCAGCATGTATTTAATGATCAAAATCTGGGAGTTGTACTTCTACTTTTATTTGCTCTTTATAATCACATTCCTAAAAGTAATGTACTAGTACATAAACTACATTTATTGTATATCATCAATACAACGTATTTAGACCAGACACACTTCCATCATTTTCAGTATTTTTCATAATCATAATGTGCTACCAATTGAGCAAATATTGTAATAATACTGATTTATCATCATCATCATAATCATCATAATCCATACAGCGAAGAAAATTAATTACAAGTCCATGAATACATCAAAGATAGCAATTAATAATAGAAATTTAAAAATTTGTGAGAGAAAGATAAATGAACCCCTCAAGCATACTATCAAGATGTGAGGTGTTTGACACACATACTCCACATATTAATTTTACCAACATGTTTAAAAAGACAAGTCTGCCCAGCATCCTTACACACCCACTCAGTCCATACCTTGATACGTAGATACCCAGTCCATATTCACTACCACCGCGGATATTAAGTCCTAACAACTGATTATCACCCACATTTAGATGAACTCTCCTTTCACCTGTACCACTTAGCATATGTAGATGACTTTTATTCGGTGCCGGTGGTCGGTTTTCATCTTTACGCTGATCTTTCACAATAGTTTTTCTTAGTGTATCGTACCTGAACCAACAAGAAATATGATCTAATTTAATACAAATTGTTTTGCAATCTGTTTTACTTGTAGTAACATACTGTGAACTCCTTTAATTTCATGTGAGACAAATTTTCGCAAATTGCACGAGTCATTTTGTAGCAATTAAAGATTTTCAGATGTCCTATAACACATAGTGTCAGTGACATTCATAATCTTTTGCCTTAATAATCTTACCACACAGAACAAGACAGCTTAAATGTGCAGGGTGATTTGTTTTTAACCAGTCAACAAACAATTTGTTACATTTATAGGTTGTTTTTTCTTCTATATTACATTAAAACCAGGTGGCATTCCAGTTTTCAAAACTGATATTCAATATTCTACAATCCTAGATTATAGACATTATACTGCTCAAATAATAATATTAATGAGACAAATTGTTTTTATAAATTCAGCATCTGTTTTTAACATAAAATCTGATATAAGTAGAAGACTCTGATTGCTTTTAAATATATATGGTCATTGATGAGCCCTGGCGGTCATAAACCGACAATCGCATATTAAAAAGCAGTCATCAGATTTTAAATCTCTTTAAAACCATACATATGTTGTCGTCTGATATAAAAATTGATCAAAAATTTCTAATGCATATATGGAATAAAGCTTATTTTGAACAGGAATTATCTCACGGCATGTGACAAAAATTAAACACAATGTGTTGTAAGCATTAATGGCTTGGGATAATTCAATAGTGAATGCATATTCCGTCATAGTGGAATTATAAAAATGTCAAAGTGTCAAAAAAACAAAGAACATACAGTGTTGAAAAGTGAACAAAGATCTATATACAAAATTTAATTTGATTCCGGAGCCAATATTACATCACATCTTTTCATAAAAACAAAAAATGAATGATTTTTTCTAAAATAAAAGTTTATATAAACTTACATACCAGTAATTTTGTATATAAGACAGTTTAAATATTGAAGGCAGCAGTTATTTAATACAGCATTTATTTATGCAAATCATTTACTAGGGGTTTTAAATATGAAACATTAGAGATAGTTTTTGAGCTACCATACTTTCCTCAATCAAATGCGTTTTTTTCTCTCTAAAATGCTGTTATTTTTTCAAATTTATCCCCCGTAGTTTCTAATGGTCAATCCTTTATAGTGGAATATTGTACTTTATCATCAGCATTATGATAATTATAACAAACAGATTTGTTAAGAATACTCCATCAAAACTCATAAGCCTCTGCTCATCTATTATGTTCATATAAAAGCCTTAGATGCAGACATGGTAATTAAATCTTGAATGCAAAATACGATATAAAAGGCTGGTGAAGTCGCCGACATCAATCTGTCAAATTTTATAGCAGTTAGTATGCAGCCAACTTATTATTAATGAATAACATGAGCTGACAGGCTGGTAACTTTTATATCCAGTCAATTGTCTGCATGTAGACTGATTCTATCAATGCATTTAAAGTAATATTCAGACAAGGGTCACCTTTTAAATCACTATTACACAACCGATGTATAGTAACCCATGTAGAGATAGATTTTGCATTTTTCTTTAAATTGTTTAAAGAACGAAATTTTACACTGGAGTCAATAAATATTATCTTCTTCTAGAACTGTAAAATATGGTAATAAGTAGACACTATTTGGTAAAAATTGTCCTAAGTAACTGGACAAAATACCTAAGATTTTTTTTAATAGTTAAAAGGACAACAATTACCAAATATTGCTTAAAACATATAAAATTTTAAAATTGGCTATTTCAACAATGTTGGCGAAGTACCAAAGTAAATTTTTGTCACCATTCACAATTTCTAAACCTGCATAACTTTTTCATATTTCTGTTAAAATTCTCACGAATAGAAAATTATAGTCATCTGGACCCAAAATTATCAAAAAATTATACACAAAAGCAGACAAAATGTTGCACCAAACTTTGGCGGGAAAAAATACCAAGAGTTAAGGTGAATACCGTGACCATGATGAATGATCAAATTCAGTATCATCTAAATATTAGTAAAATCAATTTTTGTAATATTTTGTATGTGCAGTGGCTGAAAATATAATAAGCAAATTATGATAAATTGTTTTAGCTTGGCAATTTCTATCTGTGTCAGTTAGAAAAAGTCTGGATTAGGTGAACAAACTTTAAATTGGACTCCTGAGACCAAAATTTGAACCAGTAAAATTCATTAATAATAGTTATGATAATTTTAATCTAGCATTGCAATATACACAATTTTTTTTTTTTTTGAAAAGCAATGAACTTTACAGAAAAAAAATCCACAGACAAAAATATTTTACAATCAATATGTATACAATAAAACTTACCAAGAAGTCTTTTCTCTTGAAAATTTAAAACCTGGTACTTTTCCGGTGCGGCGGATTAACATTCTAAGAGTAGTGCTACCCTGTAACACCATAACAGCACTGCTTGTGGCGATGTTATCAAACCCTACACTGTTCACTTCTAAAATCTGATCACCAACTTCAAGACCATTACGATCTACAAAAACACAGATGAACAAGACAAAGTATAACACAGAGAATCTTATAGATTATGTATTGATTGCACAATTTAAGGGCACACACAAATTTTTATGATCCCTAGAAGAGATAATATAGGATTACTAACGTTGCACTCAAAGAACATTATTTTCTTCCGACCATTAAATGACATATTGGATTAATATGAGGTTATTACAAGGATACCTCAAAGTATGCACACAAAGACAATACAGTTGAAGTATCGACAGGTGCGCAGCGGAGGTCAATGCGAGGTGTACTGTCTAAGTGCATACTTTGAGGTCTCCTTGTAATAATCTTATTATTATACATCTTTTTCTTCCAAGGATACAACACGAGACTGCCAAAATCGGAAAAGGCTTAGAATAGAATCAGCAAACTTCTTTGTGTGGAGTCCGGTCAAACCCTGGTGGCAGCCATGTTCGTTTTTATTATTAGAGGACGCACACACACGCAATCATTCCATATTTGGAATTCACATTTCCTAATATGGTAGAATGAAAATACCCCATAAAATACCGCAAAATTAGGAAACGCTGTAACTTATAGCGTTGGTGACAGATGTATAATAATAATACATAATCTGCATGAATTACAAGAAATGTTTGAGGATTCAACTGATGCCCAGAATTACTACATGCCGCAGTAATTCACTATTTTGCAATCAAACGTTTTCTTATTTAGAATACCATAGAATACTAATTTCTCACATGATGTTTCATCTAAGTTGCACACATTAAAGTATTGAAAGCTCATTTTCTGTTTGAATATTTACTAGTGGCCAGCAACAGCAAAATAGAGCCTGTCGGAGCGTTGAGATGGGCTTCTAGCACATTATTTGTCAGAATTCTGTTTCAATGAATAGATGCACTTTGGGGAAAGCTGAATTAGAATCTTTGCCAATCCAAATACAAACAAAAAGTCAAACAAAAAATCAAATAAGAATCTAAAAATTAATGAAACTTGAATGTTCAGCATACATTTCCAGCAATTCACACAAATTCAGATCATACACGTATCACATACTTCACATAATAGATATGAATTCCTAGAGATTTTTTCAGGTTTCGTTTGTAAGGTTTATACAATGATGCATGTGTACATTGTTTAATATTGGGATGATTTTAAATTCAGTATACCGTTAGCCACTTTATCAATTATTTCTCTGTGTGAAATAAATCCTATATAATACAAGATTAGGTTGTAAGGACATCTCAACTGATCAGAAAATTAGCTATAAAGTTAGAGATTACCAGTAATACAATAAAGATAAAACTGTGATGGCTATAATACTTTGTGAAACGGTCAAATAATACATGGGTTCTAATTACATAAACAGAACACGGAATCATGGCGAGCGCTTAATAAAAAGCTGCTGCTGTCAATGTATGCTTCACTAGGTACCAGGTAAGGAATTAAATTAAGCTAGAGTTTTCTCAAGATACATGTATGCTGTTGCTGTAAACATATTTTTTGCTTTCCTCTATCAAATGTTTTTTTTAGATAATAATATATAAAATGTATGAATAAACTAATATTTATAACTTTTTAAAACTGTTTAGACAAATAAATCAATAACCTGAATGGAAATGGCATCCACTGTTCCAAACAATATGGTTAGATAGATTAGAGGAACAACAGACAATGAGGAAAAGAAAATAACACTATTTGAGGTACGAAAAAAAGTTGCATGGCATTCTCACTCTCAACGAGATCCAGGCAGAAATTAGCAAACAAGGTTTATTGTTTCACAAAATTTGAATTTCCACAGTTTGGATCAGGTTAACAAAGTAGCATAATGATATGCATTGATTAAAAGATTATGCTTATTAATCAACCAGTTCCTGTTGTCACGAATGTCAAACATTAAATCGTGTTTATGTTGAATGTTGTGATGGTGGTTTTTTTCTATGTTTTATGGCGATAAATGGGCAATGTTGTTTTTGGCGATAGATAACTGTTAAATATAGAGTGGCAAGATGTTCCTTCTAGTCAGTACCAGTACTGGAGAAATGGACTTTGATTGAACCCTGAATGCTAAATAAAAAGCAATTTGTCTAATTCAGTCTCTAAAGACCATAAGGAGATAAAGTGTTTCAGGTACAGTGTTGAGGAACAAATTTGAATTGACGATCTTAAACTCCTGAGACGAGGAAATTATTTGAAATCTGAAGTGAAACACTTCTTACCTGCCACTGAGTCTTCATCAATCTGACTAACAAAGATTCCTAAACCGTGTTCAGAACCACCACGTATACTAAATCCTAAACTGTCGCTGTCTTTGTTTATAGTAATTACATGAAGCGTACCTTTCTCAGCAGAATAACCATTGTAATTGGCACCTATATAATAAAAATACATATGCATTAGCCATAACTAGTAAACAAATAAGTTGTCATGAATCAAAGAAAGTTATCAATTTTTGTAGCATTGAACATTTTACAGGGTATTCTTTAGTTAAAAAGTCATGGTTACGTTCAAAAAATGAATTCCCCTTTGAATGTTAAAATTTGAAAAAACGATGTGGATGTGAAAGTGCAATATAATATACATGTACATGTAGTTTAATAACAAATTGTTATATACAAATTGGTAAATTTGTGAATGTGTCCGTCTTTTTATTACAAAATCAAGGACACAGTTAGAAATTAAAGCTGCCTTTATGACGTGTGCAGGGGATTTATTAATCAGGCCATCATGCAAAATGCATTTCAACACACATTTAGCCTCGATAGTTACCTATTTTAGTTGTTAGCAACCGATATTCATGCCTACTTTTGAAGTGAAACATGTGCCAGTGTAAACATTGAGAACAAAAATTACTGCAAGTGAAAACTGACAACACTGACGACTATGGCACTGTTACCTCACATTTTTTCAATTTCATTTTAAGAAAAGCTAAATATCAAGAGTATAATATACTATAATTAATTTATGTTTTGTACTAGCTTTTTTAAATGATTAAAATATGCATGAAATTTTTTTTGTTTCTTGATCAAACCCAGTTAAAGTGAATTAATTATACACAGATTAGAAAATTGTACAAACTGCCTCAACTATCATAAAAGCATCGCAGGCAATTGCCTCAATGTTCAAGGAGTTTCCTTGGTGTTCTTCAAAAAATACAGATTTTCACTACAAGATTCCTAAAGGTAATCTTGTCATGGAAATGAGGACCTCTCGACTTTAAAGTTCAAGCCCAGCTGATACAGTACTATATCAGCACTTCCAGTTTTGTTACTTCTTCAGTTTTTCATCTTTATTTTAATTTTCTTTAATATCAATATCCAAATAAAGATATGATTATGCAATAAAGATTATCATTATAAATTTTATAGTATAATAATACACATCAACTAACAATAGTACTGTATTTATTCTATTAGAAGTACACTTGTAAATTACAGACTAAGGTGTTTCCATGGTCAAAATAACTAACATTTAAATTAGTATACAACACATGTATTTTTTGGTTTATAGAAACATCTATTGGAGATGCGCTTCTAATAGAACAAATAGGGTATATAATTTTAATACTGAAATGTTTATGGATTATGATGTAAAATCACATAAAAATTGAAATGGGCAAATAAATGAGTAAATGCATATGTTCTAGCTTCCCATCTAACACCAAATTTATAAATAAGAGGCAGTATAAGGCAAAAATGAAATGTCTCAAACAATAAAATTAATGCATGAATTGTACTGCAAACCATCATAACTTTGTGAAACACAAATTTGGGATGATGTAAAATTATGTATCATTAAATTTTGTCCAAGCAAAAGTCATTTGATCACAAAGTTGTTGGCTGCAAAAATGTTTACAGTACATAGTGTACATGCAGAGATGAATTCCAGTTTGAAATATAAGAAAACATGCATGATAGCGATTCAAAGAACAAAGTTCCCAATAAGTTACCTTATTAAGAAGAGAAGGTAAAATATACTTGCTTCGAGCCAGAAATGATGATATACCCAAAACACCAACATTGTAATTTAGTTTTTTACTTACGTCGCAGACGAGTTTTTAACTTTTTCTTTTTCTTTTTTGTGTGTTTCACATGTGGTGTTGAATGGACAGCTTCATGATGTGGAAGAATAATAGGTCAATATGGGATTCAAATAGTACATCGCCGAAAAAATGTATACATTTTAAAAAAATGCTTGAAACAATGCATATTTAGATTGAAATAATCATCATCTAAAAAGGACTATCAAAACAGAAAATACAATGTAACTTCAATCTATAGACCAAATTTGAGCTAGTTACTCAAAGACATCAATCTGTCAACAGATTGGCAAAATGGCAAAAATATTTTTTTCTTTATTTTTTTTTTATAACAATTACACCAAATTCATTTGTGAGTTTTTTTTATTGAAACTATTTTTGTTTTGTATGGGCAACTGTTTGAAAATAAATCTGGATTTGTACTACTGACACCCTGCATGTACTTCAGTTCAGGTATTTCCCATATGACACAGATCTCAAAAATTCTCAGATTCAATTATCAATTTTCTTTTGGGTGGCCTAGTTGTAATGGTGGTAGGGTAACATTATTAATTTGAGCCAACCAATTATAATAGCTGGGCTGTAATGGTAGCAGTGGTGGTGGGGTATCATTAATTTGAGCCAAATGATTGTAATAGGTGGTCTGTGATGGTAGTAGTTATGGTGGAGTAACATTAATTTGAGCCAACCAATTATAATAGCTAGGCTGTAATGGTAGTAGTTGTGGTGGAGTAACATTAATTTGAGCCAACCAATTATAATAGGTGGTCTGTGATGGTAGTAGTTGTGGTAGAGTAACATTAATTTGAGCCAACCGTTTATAATAGCTGGGCTGTAATGGTAGTAGTGGTGGTGGTGGGATAACATTATTAATTTGAGCCAACCAATTGCAATAGGTGGTCTGTGATGGTAGTAGTTGTGGTGGAGTAACATTAATTTGAGCCAACCAATTATAATAAGTGGTCTGTGATGGTAGTAGTTGTGGTGGAGTAACATTAATTTGAGCCAACCAATTATAATAGCTGGGATGTAATGGTAGTAGTGGTGGTGGAGTAACATTAATTTGAGCCAACCAATTATAATAAGTGGTCTGTGATGGTAGTAGTTGTGGTGGAGTAACATTAATTTGAGCCAACCAATTATAATAAGTGGTCTGTGATGGTAGTAGTTGTGGTGGAGTAACATTAATTTGAGCCAACCAATTGCAATAGGTGGTCTGTTATGGTAGTAGTAGTTGTGGTGGAGTAACATTAATTTGAGCCAACCAATTATAATAGGTGGTCTGTGATGGTAGTAGTGGTGGTAGGGTAACATTATTAATTTGAGCCAACCAATTATAATAGGTGGGATGTAATGGTAGTAGTTGTGGTGGAGTAACATTAATTTGAGCCAACCAATTATAATAGCTTGGATGTAATGGTAGTAGTGGTGGTGGAGTAACATTAATTTGAGCCAACCAATTGCAATAGGTGGTCTGTTATGGTAGTAGTTGTGGTGAAGTAACATTAATTTGAGCCAACCAATTATAATAGCTGGGCTGTAATGGTAGTAGTGGTGATGGGGTAACATTATTAATTTGAGCCAACCAATTATAATAGGTGGTCTGTGATGGTAGTAGTTGTGGTAGAGTAACATTAATTTGAGCCAACCAATTATAATAGCTGGGCTGTAATGGTAGTAGTGGTGGTGGTGGGATAACATTATTAATTTGAGCCAACCAATTGCAATAGGTGGTCTGTGATGGTAGTAGTTGTGGTGGAGTAACATTAATTTGAGCCAACCAATTATAATAAGTGGTCTGTGATGGTAGTAGTTGTGGTGGAGTAACATTAATTTGAGCCAACCAATTATAATAGCTGGGATGTAATGGTAGTAGTGGTGGTGGAGTAACATTAATTTGAGCCAACCAATTGCAATAGGTGGTCTGTGTTGGTAGTAGTGATGGGGTAACATTAATTTGAGCCAACCGATTGCAATAGGTGGTCTGTGATGGTAGTAGTGGTGGTGGAGTAACATTAATTTGAGCCAACCGATTGTAATTGGTGGTCTGTTATGGTAGTAGTGGTGGGGTGACATTAATTTGAGCCAACCGATTGTAATTGGTGGTCTGTTATGGTAGTAGTGGTGGGGTAACATTAATTTGAGCCAACCAATTGTAATTGGTGGTCTGTTATGGTAGTAGTGGTGGGGTAACATTAATTTGAGCCAACCGATTGTAATTGGTGGTCTGTTATGGTAGTAGTGGTGGGGTAACATTACTAATTTGAAACAACATGTCAAAGTCAATCATCCATAACCTAGCCATTATTACAAAGTGTATCAGTGCAGCAACTGGAAGACTCATAGCAACTTTAAAATTAATTTGATTGATTCTGAAAGGCGTGATTCAAAATACCAAAAAAGAATCGTTGACAACATATTGAGAACTAAAATCTGATTAAGCATGAACGGTAAATCTTTTTTTGGACAGACATTTATGTGCATTTTTCTGTACTATTAACTTTTTAACATGACAATTTTTTGACTGAGGCACACAATGGTGCATTGTACAGGGTCCTCAGCTCAACCAAACACAATGGCTGTGAGAATGTAATTGTTTGCAGTTGAAGGTATGTGCATAGCTCGCTTGCCACTAACAAAGACACCACCATCAGAATGTCTATTGTGGGAATTGAACAAATCTGACCTGATTGGAGTAGATTGGTGTAACTGCATGCAAAATACTTGTATATCCACAGACACTACTATATTATTTCTTAATGCCTTTCAAGAACAAGGTATTGTGTTTTTAATAGTCAAGGTTAAAATTCAGAACGTTACAAATTATGGGTAATATACATCTACTTAGATTTGTGAGTATAGCACCATATATTAATACGTACAAATCATCTTTTGAGCATTAATACCATCTTTACTCATCTATAATGATTTGCATCAAACAAACGTACAAATTATCATAGATACTGCTTAGAGCTTAATTAATCACTATATTTTCGCTTATTTCACTAAATGCGCTAAATAAAAACTAGTAAATATGCAATTTAACCACGGAATGTATTTCTTTCTTTTCTTTACAAACCAGTAAAATCAAAACATAGTGACAGTGAATATTCTTTCTACTACATTACTCCATGGATATACCACTAACAGACACTTTCCTATATTACCGGTAATTTACTTTTTCCTCTTTGCAAACTGTTAAAGAGTCATCCCAGCTATGTACGTTCAAATGTGTTAATATTTTGTGTGAATAAACACATTCGAGTCATAAACAAATCGGTATAGGATGCTAAATGTAATATAGGACCATAAAATTCACACACAGTCACGATG